TGTACACATACACCTTTCATAAACAACCACAAACATACACGTACATACACTGAGTCACGTCACAAAAGAATCATTATTTTCTGTTGAGCAGCAGGCTGATTCATCAGCAGCAATCTCTTCACACCAATTATACAAAAAACTGAGCTGGGGATAATGACATACCACTATTTGCAAATCTCTCTCAGCCTCAGCCAGTCTCATCTTTGTAATAAGAAAAAAATCCTTGAGGAAGCTTTTACCAAATCGCATTTGACCATTAAATCTTTCTTGAGGAAGGTCATTTAATTTTATGGAAAGAAATGAAAAATTAAAATGGCATAAGCAGAAATAGTCCTGGTCTGGAAATCAGAACACTGACAATTCTAGTTCTAGTCCTGTGGCCTTGGCAAGAGAAAAACTTGGGTCTCAGTTTCCCCATCTGGAAAAGGGGGATGTTGGGACGGGGGAGTTGTTCTCTTTCCCCCATAGTTGATGAAAATGGAAGTCTAGCATCGTGTCCCGGGTCAGAACACCAAGTTAAAAAAAAAATACAAAGAAAACATTTGATCCCCTCAGCACTTCCTCTGAGAAGAAGAGACCAATGGTGCATAGAGGATCTTCTGCCTCCATTACAAGACCTATAAAATGAAAGCAGTAGTGACTACTGAGGGCAGAATTTGGATGATTCGTTAACAGCAATTACAGAATTATCCTTGACTCAGCAAATGCTAAGCCCAGTGGTGTCTTTTAACTGAGCCTGATTTAAACGTGCATTGTGTTGAACGGAGTATCATTTAAATGGTCCATTTTAGCCAGATGACGGAGGTGAAGTGAAGAACCACACAGTTACCCTGAGCATTCAGGACAGTCCAGAGAGCTAATTTGGACGTGTGCACTTTCACATGTGCTGAAAGTCTCTGTTTGCACCCAAGACTCTCATGAGTTCCTCTAATACCCATCACTTTGGAGGAGGTTGTTTTCAAAACAGAATTAAACAAAACCGTCAGGCAACAAGGTTAAGTGGCATCTGGGTGGTCAAGAAAATTTGGAAACAAAAGTAGCTTTTTTTTTTTTTGCTTTAAGATGGAGTCTCACTCTGTTGCCCAGGCTGGAGTGCAGTGGTGTGATCTCAGCGCACTGCAACCTCCGCCTCCCAGGTTCAAGCAATTTTCCTGCCTCAGCCTCCCTGGTAGCTGGGATTACAGATGTGTGCTACCATGCCCAGCTAATTCAGTATTTAGTAGAGATTTTAGTAGAGACAGGGTTTTACTATGTTGGCCAGGCTGGTCTAGAACTCCTGACCTCTAGCAATTCGCCTGCCTTGGCCTCCCCAAGTGCTGGGATTATAGGCATGAGCCACCTTGTCTGGCCAATACAAGTAGTTTTTCAGAGCTAATACACACCAAAATATACAAATTGTAGGCATGCATGTATGTGCATACACAGTGGTAAGTTCTAAATCTTAGAAGAAATGGAAACTTATCATAACTAATCGATGAATTATAACCATGGGGAAGCAGGAAGTCTTTGTGATGAGCTGTCTTCCCTACACCCAACTAGGGACATCCCTTCGGTGAAAAGGTCTCTCCACATGGCTCCACATGGCTTGACTAGAGTAAGGGTGCCTATGATCAAACTCACGGCCGCGTGTAGAATGACATGCTATCCCATTAGATTTGGATACAAATGGTGGTGCTAGGCTAGGTAAATTTTGATGCGGCTGCAGAACTATGGCAGATGGACCAGGAAGGATTTTAGATTGCTCAAACATCAGATCAGGATCAGATTTTTTACAGAATGGTCACTAAATTTCAGAGGGAATCTATATCCAGCCTGTTTACCTACTGTCAAAGTGAGTGTTCAAAGGGACATCCCAATGGCCCCCCACTTCCAGGCCTCCTGTCAAGTCATGCCTCCAAGTCACTGGTGGCATCCTGCAGCTCTCCACTGACGGCAATGCTTCTTCAGATTGTGTCGCATGCTCTTGCAGTGCCGGTTCAAGACTGGGCCACCAAAGATTCAGCCGAGAACATAACCCAAGAGGTCACCAATCACACGGGTGTTGGCACCTTTATGTGGTCTCCTTCGGGATGGAGGATTCTTTAATGCTATTAAAATATCATTGCTGGTCAGAGTGTTCTTAAATCCTATGGCAGACGTCTCTCCTTTGGAAACGGATTTGATTTTTGGACAGAGCCAGTGGCCAACAAGCGACTTGGGGAAATGTAATTTCTAAACAAAAAACAAGGTGAGAGCACAAGAGGAGGCGGCTGTTTCTTTTGTGTGGTTTGTCAACAGGCTCTGAAGGGAACTGCTGTGAGTCACTGCAGCGCCTCAGGACCAAACGCCAAGCGTACCAAGGAGACCTGGCAGGCCAGCTGCTCTCTTTTGTATGTATAGGTTCTGGTGATGAAACCACATACCCCTACTGTGACTCAGGTCCACATCTCCCACCAGCGTACGTAGGCATGAAAGTCAAGCTTCAGGACAAAGGTCCTCCTTGGGGGACCCCAGGACAGGCACAATCAAGGGGAAACAGTCTTGGCTTTGAGTTCCACTGGCAAACACTGTCCCTGAAGTTTTGGTGTAACAGAGTAGGAGACAGTCATTTAGAAAGTCGTCTCCTAGGGCCTGTGTGTAAGAATTACTTCTCAACCAAGCACACCACAGTTTTATGTGAAGATTTCCAAATGTTTTTTGATATGTAGGTAAAGCATATATTTTCATAAGAAAAATAATTATCTGCCTTTTAGGCAGTTTTCCTTTTTGTAGATTGGACAGGAAATAGATTGTCCCTTTGAAAGCAGCCAATAGATAGATCAACTTTCAGACACCAAGGCAAAGGCCTCAGGCACAAAACAGAGAGTCAGGGGCCCACAAGATCACAAAACTGGCTGGGTCCTCCGCTAACACAAGCACACTGGAAGAAACATGAGCCCACTGTCAAGATTAATACGAGGATTGCAGGGTGTTCTTTAATCTGCATGATTGCTTTATTGTATAAAAAAGTTTCCAGTAACAGTAAATTGGTTTTTAAAAAGGACAAAAAAAGTCATTTTGGATAGAAGCACTTCACTAATTGCTTTATTTAAGCATACAAGAAAAAGTGTCTTATCTGACCAATTAGGGTGGAAGGGTTTTATTACCTTTAAGGAGCCATTAGGATAAAACACTGAAACCACTCGTGTCAAAACAAATAAATAATGTAAATAACGCTCTCTCAATTAGCAGAGGGTGAATCAGAGACACACACCGCTTCACAGGCATGGCCCAGCCAGCACCACCACCCCCCCCAAAAAACGCACACAAGAGACAGCAGTTTTCAGTTACAATCTTGGGAAAGATCAGGAGCTTTGGAAAACTGATGGTAAACATGTCTGTTTCTCCTTCTACCTCCACTCAACCTGAGCCACCCCTGGACACTTTAGAGGAGGCATGTGGGCTGGGCATGGTGGCTCATACCTGTAATCCCAGCACTTTGGGAAGCCGAGGCGGGAGGATCATGAGGTCAGGAGATTGAGACCAACCTGGCCAACATGGTGAAACCCCATCTCTACTAAAATACAAAAAACTAGTCAGGCGGAGTGGCACGCACCTGTAGTCCCTGCTACTCAGGAGGCTGAGGCAGGGGAATCACTTGAACCTGGGAGGCAGAGGTTGCAGTGAGCCAGGATCACACCACTGCACTCCAGCCTGGAGACAGAACAAGACTCCATCTCAAAAAAAAAGAAAAAGAAAAAAGAGAAGGCATGTGTCCAGAGGCTGCACCCAGGGATGCCCAGAGGGAGCCTGCCCTGCTAAGTCCCTTCTCCAAGAGTGCATCCCAGGCAGGGGAGACTGGCCTGGGTGATCGTTACTTCCATAGGCCAACAGAGTGCGGAGAAGCATGAGGTGCCCACAGATACCGGCTGTCAGCGAGTAAAGGGAAAGAAACCCTGAGGTACCATGATTCTTTTCTCTTACTTCCTCAAATGCTGCTGATCTCTCCCCAAGTACAGGCTCAACAGAAAAATACAGTGGTTTGAGGACCCCAAGAAGTCAGCACGCAGGCCCGGGGTCAGCTAGCTCCAGGCTGGGTCTCTGTCTCTCCCACCCTGGGAAAACAGTCACGGCACGAGTGCCCTGGCTTCAGGTGGAATGGGACAGTTCCCCAACTTGGAGGACATCCTTAAAACAATCTGTAATCAGGTCTGTTATTTTACCCAAATAGGTGCAGGGGACAGAAACCAACCTTTATCACCCTATTTGGTGAAAATAAATATAAACAAATGATCTTCTCCTACAGGGTCAGTTTCCTTCAAGGGTTTCTAAGACTCAGCACTTTAAAAAAGCTTGAACAGGAATCCGGTATTGCCACTGCAGACCGTTTTTGAGGCCAGTTCCCTAATTCGGACAGCCCCACTCCTAAGGAGCAGGTCTAACTTGGAACGTCTCAACCATGGGTTAAAATCAGCTGAGATGAAAGAACACCTCCAGTGAACCTCAAGAGCTATGGAAGCCTCAGCATTTCAGGGGTGACTGATGAGGTGCTGGCTTCTTATTTTCCAGCCCTCTTTCCTAAACAATACTTGTCAGGGAATACCAGGGTTGCTTCCTAAAATGCCAGGTAAACCTCTAGGTCAGGGGTCCCCAAACTTTTTACACAGGGGGCCAGTTCATTGTCCCTTAGACCGTTGGAGGGCCGCCACATACTGTGCTCCTCTCACTGACCACCAATGAAAGAGGTGCCCCTTCCTGAAGTGCGGTGGGGGCGGGGGGGGGGCGCGGATAAATGGCCTCAGGGGGCCGCATGCTGCCCGCGGACCGTAGTTTGGGGACGCCTGCTCTAGGTCTTTACCATTCCACAGCTACATCAGTAATAAGGACACCAGTGGCTGCCAGAGGTGGCACCAACTTGGAAAGGGAAGGCTGGGGCAGGGGTTTGGATGTTAAGCCCATGAGCTGTTGGGACAGCTTCGATCTCTGGACTTGAGTTTCAATTTCGGAAACAACTTCAAAGTCAACTCTAGAGAGACATTTTATGTGACTGGTCCAAATAAAATGCAGTACATTGAATGAGGTCATACACTTCTTACACTTTGTAAGAGAAGCAAAAACAATGGAAAAGCCATTAAAAATTACACAAAGACCATTAAAACTCTACTGGTATCAATTAAAACAAGACCAATAAAACATGAACAACTTCAAACTTCCCATCCCTTTCCACACGATTCTACAGTTGTAGGAATGTATTTGAGCACCATATTTATAACAGGTAGGAAAATGACGAAGTCTTACTTTGGCGATCTGACCCACACTCACACAAACGAGAAGCGTCCTAGTCAAGATGCCCACAGTCCTTGGCAATGTGCCTGCTTCCTAGGCATTGCTCAGTGGCAATGGAAGAGCCAATAAATCAAATCACTGGTGGGATATTTTACTTTGAAATGGAGTGATGTTTGGTTAATAATTTGAGATCCACTAATCCTAAATGGGGTGACCCATTTAAAATGGCCTCTGTGTAAATTCACAGTTCATTAAATAGAGTCTGGTTTGAACAGGTCATTATGTAGTTAGCATATAAGTAATGGACTGAGCAAGGAGGCTGGGGATACCCACGGGGACACACTGGCTGAGACTGGTGGCTTTTATAACACTGCCAAGCTTTCTTTTAATGCGAGATTCATTCAAATCGCCAACTTAATTTGAGGTGGTTTTGCTTAGTAACCCCTTTTGGTTTACAGTAGAAAATGCAGTGCAAAAATTTTAAATAAGGAATATTCCATTTACAATTAATTTAAACTTATGAAGCTGTTTTAACTGGCCCATCTAAATGTGTTAATTAACATCAATGATGGTTTCTTATTTTTCACACTTTGTTACTCTGATCATTAACAGTGATGGAAAAGCTAAATTAAGTTAATGGGGAACGGATTATAAATTCTTAAAGGACTTCTTGGTTGTTTTCAACTGGAAAATATATAGAGAAAGATGAAGAGGCATTTTTGCCTCTACTCATCAATTTTTGGTACCAAATTTCTTAAAAACCAGATGGTTTAAAGAAAATTTTTCCAAAAATTATTTTAACATTCTGCTCAGACATGGCTGCTAAAAAAATAGCATATACACATATAACACTGAACAGCTTCTGCAGTCCCTGTAAACTTTCAGCTCACTTTCTCTAAGAAAAATATATTTTATAACTGATCACAGAACTCAAATCTCTATTGTGCAGCAGTATCAAAGGTCCTTAAATTCTCAACAATGAAGGAAAAACAAAAGCCCATTCCCCGAACCGCTTGCAGGACTAGTGGAGGAGGAGTCCGTGGATGGAAAGGTTCTCTGCCCCGACGCCCTCGGATTCCTCGGGGCTGCACCTCTGACGGCAGCTGGCCCGCGCAAGCCAAGCCCCTCACACCGGGAGATGCATGCGTGCGACACACACGAGAACCCAATGCCATTTATCGAGACTTCACGCCAACGAGGACAACAATGAGCACAATGATGATGACAAATAATATTAAAATCACAAGCATCTTCCGATTCTTCTTTTGATACTGTTCTGCCTACAAAAAGAGGAGGGGAAAAAAGGCAGTCATTTTCCCCAAAATCCCAAATCAGGTCCCACGCATTTCCAGACTGAGGCTTCTGGATCTGTCTGCACAGTGACTGAGGTCTCTGCTACAGGCTACATGATCGTAATCCCTCCATCAATCCCAGGGAATTCTGTCACCAGGAGCGGAAGAGCCCCACGATCCCGGAGCTGCTTATTTGCCCTGGGCGTGGAAATGGACTTGTTGGGAAGCTACTGCTAAGACAAAGGCTGACAGGGAAGTCAAAGCTCATGCTTCCAGATACCGCTGGGCCTGCTTCTCCCTGCTCCACCCTGCTTCTCCTCGCTTCTCCTCCCACAGGCCGTCCGTTCCTCATCCCGGCTCCTTGAGCGAATGCACGGCTCCTTCACCGCGGAAGGAAACAACGGGCTGGAGAAGCGTTAAATGGCAGGTAGGCAAAGATGCCCCCAGAGAGGCCCCATTTCGGCCTCCCCTAAATTTGGAAACAAGAACTCATCCTTTGAAATAAAAATAGACACAATACAGCAAAGGCACTCCCAAGCTCAACCTGGGGACAAGGCTGCACCCCGCCTGTCTCTTCACCCGAACACGGCATCCTGGAAGCTCAGCGGGAGCGCGGGAACTCCACCATGCCTGGTACAGAAATGCCGAAGGGCCCCGCCTGGCTGGTGAAAGACACACAGCACTGAGAAAGGAGAGCCAGAGGGCAGAAGAGTTCAGAGGGAGTCGGAAAGCAAGTCCAGGGAGAGCATGCGCTGCCCTCTTCCAGACCTTGCTACGGCACAGGAGGAAGGACAGCGGGAAGGCAGCCCGGGCGAGAATAGCAATTCCTTCTACTCCATCCCCCTCGTTTTCGAAGCGAGCCTGCCCGCCCACCGCGGGGGAGCCCCTCATCCACCAGGAGGAACGCCACTGGAGAGTCGGGCCATGGGGAGCAGCTCCCAAAGCTCAATCACCCTTAGACCAACCGACTGCTGAGCACCGGCCAGCCGCGGTGCTGCCTACAGCCCTGTGGCTGGAGGGAAGACGGAGCACGCTGACTTTTCTAATAAGTAACCCAGAACACCAGGGAAGCCAGTACTAAATAATATACTGTAAAACCTCTCAAAATGATTTATAAAGTAGAACCTAAAACAAAATTTTTAGTTCCCACTAGATTTGCTCACTCCCGCAGAGAAAGCTTTTTCTTTTATCTGTTATATTACAAAACATGTTTCACTAGTTTTTATTTAAGAAACTTCAAAACCAATGCATAATTCAGCAGCACATCAAAACCTGGGTATTACAGAATGAGAAACTAGTTAGTTTTCACTTTTAATAGATAGGGCTTGGCAACCAAATTAATCTAAATGCTTAAGGGGTCGCTGCTTAGACGAGATCCGATGTCTCTTTCCCCCCACAGGCTGGAATCTCATACCCACCCAGCACGTGGCAACAAGCACCCTGAAAAGACAGCTCAGGGTTTTGGGTTAGACGAGGGTAAGGGCTGACTCTTTGTAAACCCCAATGCTGCTGTTAGATGGGGTGATCTCTGGTATAGGAAGCAACTGGTTTTAGAAAAACGGTAGAGTAGTCCAATAGTGAATTGGCAAAACACTCATTATATGGCTAGAAATTCCACTGGGCCTCAAAGATCCAAGAAAACGGACACTACCTTTGAAGTACTGTTATATTCCTTTTAAAGAAAATATGTAACCAATTATATGTGAGAGCCACTCACCAGTTTATGCGTTTCTCATAACTGATTATAAGATTCCCAAGATGCTTTCCATCTATTTTTTCTAAAAGAACAAATATCATTTTTAAAAACCCTGAAATAGCTACCTTAATAGTGCAGAAGAGAAGAACTACTACTCTCGCTTCAACAAACTTCTCTTTTCTCAAGGTAATCTACAGATACGCTGTGGCAATTAAAGAGAAAATTAGATTTTTATCTTCTCCAGAATGATTTTACACCAGCAATTCATCAGAAATGTGTCACAACAAGAGAGGCCTGAGTCAGTGGCAACAAGCAGATTTTCAACACATATTTTAGCAAATGCCCATTCAACTGATTTCCTAAAACAAGCCTCTGAAAAGGATGAGATATTTTCTAAAAGGAAGAAAACTCCAATCCCTTTAGAATTTAGTGTCATAAAAAGGAATTCTTAGCAATTTTGGATCTAAGTGTGAGATACACCTGGAATCATTAACTGCAATAAAATGGCAACAGCCCCCACAACTGGCTTTAAATGAAATGAATCCCTTTTTACACTACCGTACTGAAAGTGGACAACACAGGCAAGAATGCTGAAGGCAGTTATGGTGGAAGAGAATCCTCTTACCAGTTCCTGATTATTTGAAAATAGTTCCTAAAATTCCCAATTCTTCAAAGATGTGTCATTACCTTGTGAAGTTGTTTCAAGCCATCTTCCGTTTTGATACAGGACTGTTCAACGTTATAGTCAATTCTATCGAGGACTGTACCCTAGATAATAAATGACAGTTACAGACGATCAACAATGGCAACTGGGAAAACTGGACATCAAAAATGAGATATACAAATTACAGACATCATCATCCAGAAGATGATGCTTTCCTTCCCTGTGTGCTGCAGGTACACACGGAGGGCTCTGGAGTTCCCCTCAAGCAGGGTCAGGAGCTCCAGGGCAGAGTGCTGGTTGGTGCCATCACGTCTAGTTCATAAGAAAGAAGTACTGACAGACCGGGGTTTCTTTTTTTGGTTTTCACTACCATACAACATGCCATATTCAGACTTACTTGGGCCTTACAAACAATATATAGTTCAGTGGAAAGAGGCTCTGAACAGCAGAGAGGCTCTGTACCCATTTTGTGCCTACACATTTGGACTCATGTAGGCAGAGAACAGCAGCACAACCTTGTTAGGAGTAGACCACAAACTCTCACGTCTACAAATGCGAATGCACATCTCTACGGGTCAGAGCAGACAATGTACCATCTAAAATTAAAAATTTGGCCTCAAAGAAAAGATGTTTAATTGTTTAATCTCTTAATACAAATAAGAAGAAGGGGACACTGGGCTATAAGGAAGAACAGGGCTTTTATTGGAAACATGCTGGATTAGAAGAGATAGCAGTTCACTGAGAACTGCTGGAGTAATTAATGTAACTGGATCTTTCAGAGCCTGAACGCTCCATTCTGCAGTTGGTTTCAGGGGGATCAGGACCCAAATCCCTGCTGGCAAGATAATAAAATTCCCTAATCAGATTTTAACAGTGAACAACAATTTAATTCTACTTGAAAGCTAGTGGTTCCAACTGCCATTACACAATAACCTGCCAAAATTAGAAGGGAAATCTTATATATTGGCAGAATCATTGCTGAGCTTGGTCAGAGTCAACTAGGTCTCTAAAGTAGGGTGCTCACATTAAGTACCCTGGAAAGATAGGAAGAGAAAATTAGAACTTCTAAAAGAGATTAATATTCTTATAGGGAATGCCAGTAGCCTATGTATATAATTTGTAAATACACACATATACAGGCTGAGTATCCCTTATCTGAAATGCTTATTCCGGATGGGACCCAAGTCTAAACACAAAATTCATTTATGTTTCCATATACCTTATATACATGGCTTAAAAGTTATTTTATATATAGAGAGAGAGAGTTGTTTTTTTATTTTTTGGAGACAGAGTTTCACTCTTGTTGCCCAGGCTGGAGTGCAATGGTGCAATCTCTGCTCACTGCAACCTCCACCTCCCAGGTTCGAGTGCTTCTCCTGCCTCAGCCTCCCGATTAGCTGGGATTGTGGGCATGTGCCACCACACCCAGCTACTTTTTGTATTTTTAGTAGAGACGAAGTTTCACCATGTTGGCCAAGCTGGTCTTGAACTGCTGACCTCAAGTGATCCACCCACCTCAGCCTCCCAAAGTGGTGGAATTACAGGCGTGAGCCACCGCGCCCAGCCACAACATTTTCAATAGTTTTGTGCGTAAAACAAAGCTTTAACTGCCACCTGTTGCATGAGGTCTTGTGTAGGTATTTTCCACTTGTGGCATCATGTCAGCACTCAAAAAGTTTCCGATTCTGGAGCATTTTGAATTTAGTATTTTCTGATTAGGGATGCTAAGTATATATTTGTAAACATATGTGTATGTGTGTATATACATTTGTAAACACAAAAGGACAGGCACACACACACACACACACACACACACACACACACACGTTGGGGAAATGGCTCCAGTTTTTTGCCCTGAAAGGAGTACAGGAAAAAGAAGGAGCAGATAGAATCGCAGGAAAGCCTATTCACAAGGAAGGCCAGCACACGTACCTGTTCTACAATCATGGCTCCTAAGTCCCTAAAGATTTCATTCAGGTCGGAAATGGACTGTACAATCTGGCGGATCTCTCGCTCCCTCTCCTCCACCATCAGTGTGTTCTGCTCCACCAGCACTAGCTGGTCATCGGTAAAACCCTAGCAAAACAGTGTACAGTTTGTTGGTTAGAATTTTTTCCCCCTCTCAGGAAAGCTATGGTGTACTAGTCTAGATATAAATATAAGTTAAAGAAAATGAATATAATTTAAAGAAAATATTTCTATAAAGCACATAAATAATAAGTAAACACTTATCTTTTCCTAACAGGAAAGATTCAAACTCCCTAACTCAGCAGGATCTAAAGCTCTGAGGCCACAGCAGGGAAGACAGAAGCCCACGTCTGCAGCTCTGCAAGGGCACAGGAACAAAACCCCCAAAATAGCCCTCTGCTGCTCTGTGTTCTTCCTAAGAAGGCAGGGTGTTGACCACTTTCCCAAATGTTCTGGAAAGCAGATTGCAAGGTCTCCTTCCCTGTGGCCTTTGCAAAGGAAGAAACAGTACAGCTGTTCTTCCACCTGCTGCAAAAACAACTTGATGAATATACAAATCAGCTGTACCAATCCACTGACACTGCAGATACGTTCGAGGTCTAGGAGGAGAAAGCAGCAGCAGAACGGGGTGCACGGACCCAGCAGTCGGCTTTGCGGCCCCTTCACGTACCCGATGGTAAAGAGTATTGTCGTCTCCATCATCCATTAGTGGTACTGATGTGTCAAAAAAATGCTGGGATCTTTCCTCTCGATTCTTCATGCCTACCACAGATAGGAATTCATTTTACTTGAATATGTAAACCACCCTGGTTATTGTTCTACCATTAAAAAGGGGAATTCTAGAGTAAACTTCAACAGTCAAAATGGAGACATTCTTAGCCACTTTAAAGAAGCCTATCTCCAGTGGGGGTAGAGGGAAAGGAAAGGATCACAAACACACAATAATATGCAGGCGTTTGGGATGATTCAAGACAAAGTCACAGTGCAAATGTGCACAATTCACTTGATGCCAAGACAAAAATGACACAACCATCTGAGAATCTCTAAGTGAAACGGAAATATTTAATCTAACTGCTGTTGCAAAACATTTTAAAAAATCAATATTTCTCTCTAGAAGCATCTCTAGTAAGAATTCCAAATGGCCCTAATCAAATTTTGGAAGTAATAAAATTAAAATACAAATCTGCCAGTTGTCAGAGGAAGGAAGAAAGAGGGAGGGAGAACTGAAGTTTTTTTTTTGGAGACTGTGGGGACTTTATTGATTACAATGGCCATTTTTAAAATCCAGCTTACAGGGTGATTGGAATGCGGAGATAGCTGAAATCGGGCTCTGGGCTATTTGTCGAGTGAAACCGGTGGTGCCAGCAGAGGAAGTGTTTCGAGGACCCTGGGGAGGGATTCTCAGGTGCTCTCAAATACTTTGGTTGTCATGCAAACATGTGGCTTTCCCTAATAACAACTGCCTTTACCTATTTAGTAGCAGCTCTCCCAAACCCGAACATCTAGAAAACAACAGGTTTTTCAAATGTGCTTGATTGATTTTCAAATTCTTGCACCTTCAACAAAACAAATTTTGTTTGCTGAGATGCTGAACTATCTGCGTGCCCTCCCCGATGCTGCATCAGTACTCCACACTGTGCTTTCATTCCAAGCCGGAGTTTCACGTGGGGAAGAGGTTTCCCTTTATTGTGTAAGGTGTGAACATGCTCAAAAGCTAACAATGCAAGGTATTGGACTACGTGGAAAAATAGTCGCAAAAGAGAAAACAGAAAGTGCTTTTCTTACTCAAAATCCCTTCACTAGGCCCGGGCAGCACTCACGTTTGAGATAGCCCGACTGTGCGTGCCGGAAGCTGGTGGAGAGTTCCTGCAGGGCCTGCGCCAGCGAGGCCACCACGTTCCCAAGCAGCCGCCCCTCCTGCTCGGAGCAGGCCCGGGCCCGGCTCGGCAGGGCCTGCACGGCACGCTGGCACCTGTGGAAGAGCTAAGAGAACAAGCCCGAGGCTCAGGGCAAGCCTGAGAGGGAAGCCCCTCCGCTAACACTGCCATCATCACAACCCAGAGTGAGAGGTGAGGGACTCTGTTCACTCAGGTTGGTTTAGAGAAGGGTGAACAGATAAAAGGAATCTGAGGCTTGATTTATACACACAGAAAGATTTCACTGGATTTCAACTCCTGCTGTGTAGGGCCTGCTGTGTGCCCAGCTGCGCACATATCAGTACGTTAGATAGGCTGGGTACCCCTCATCTGAAATGCTTGGGATCAGCAATGTTTGGGATTTCAAATTTTGAGAGATTGGAGTATTTGCAGAATACCTACTAGCTGAGCACCCCAATCTGAAAATTGGAAATCCAAAATGCTCCAATGAGCATTTCCTTTGAGTGTCATATTGGCACTCTTTCAAATTTTGGAGCATTTTGGATTTCAGATTTTCAGATTAGAAATCTTCAACCTATATTATCACATATCGTATTATTATTGCATTCTTCTCATTTAATCCCTAACAAGCATCTTATGAGGATGGTACAATATTAGTCCCATTTTACAGAAGAGAACACTAGAGTCAGAAGGCTTAAATGAGAATCACGCAACTGTTAAACTGCTAAGAGCCAAGGTTCAAACATTCCAACACTCCAGGGTTTTTCCCAAAGCACCATACTCCTCTGATAATTAGCACCCAGGAGACTTAAATAAAAGATGTAAACACTGAAGTTTAAACACGAGTACTATTATTTTTAAATTAGTCAAATTTAATATTTTATTTAAAAAATGTCTAGGTTACTTTTCAATTATAAGGACTATATTTTAGCATTAAAATTTCTTAACACTTGTATACAATATTATACATTTTAAAATCAAATGATTGAACTCAATCATGTTTGAAATTTCATCTTTACTTAATCCACAGTAGTATCTGCCAACAACTGAAAACCAGCCCCCACACCTCCCAGGCCTCACAGGTACCTCTGCTGACAGCTGGAGGATGTCAGGGCCTCCTGAGGTCCCTTTGAGAAATTAAGGTTGGGAAGTGGACTCCAGGAGACTGATTTTGAGTAGCACCCTAGTTTTTGAGATTGCCATGAGGCAGCTTGCTGGTTTCCCCAGGACTCAATAACACACCCTCACCTGAGTGATTTCCTGGGTAGTTATCTCGATGGCGTGTTCCTCTTCACTGCTGTCATCCAGGGTGGGTCTGTTTAGATGCTTGTCATGAAGGCTGGATAATTCTTTCATCTTCTGCTTAATCCGGCCAACATCATATTGAATCTAAGCAAATGACGTCATAGAACTCCACTGATGCCAGGCAGGCTATCGGTCTGCCTCTGAGACAACCAGCTACACTCAGCACACAGAGTTCAGTCTTCAGCAAACTTGTTGGCTTGCTGATGTGTGAGCAGCTTTTAATTCAAATTACCAGAAAAATCACATAGCACTCTTCCTTGTTGCATGGGTTTTCCATTTCTTCCTATAATTCAGGTAGTTACTACCAATATTAAAACTAAAGCAAAAATTAACGCACATAGACAACTTAACCTAAAGCTAAAGTACTTCTAGGGATATATATTCAAGTGTAGCCAAATTCATTTATATGACAGACATCTTAAAATACGTTGGCATAATTACTTAATAAAAAGGTGGTATGAAACTATCATGCAACTTACTTCATCCACTCCATCCACCCATTTAGGAGGTGACCGTTTTGTCACACCAATTGCTGCTTCTGGATCTAAGCTGATGCCTGACACCAGTGCCATACGGTCATCAGCAAGCTACAAGAAAGTAAAGGGACAGGAAAAAAAATTATTCCAATCCAATTTAGATACAAATACTCTTAATCCCTCTTAAATGTTGCTCCCTGAAGATACAGAAAGGAGTGAATGCACTTGCCTGTATTATAAACTTGCTTTTGATAACTGCTACGATTTGGAATTGTTTTCCTATCTTTTCATGCACCAGCTCTTAATTTCCTTGGACATACTTGAGAACATGAATTTGACTTGATCTGGCTATAGAAATGTAATGAAAAAGTCAACAAAAGGTCCTTAAAATGAAGACCTCTTAGAACTAGTACTGTGGTAGAATATCATGAACCTCAATGATTAATCTGATCAGTTACAAGTGAAAAAAGAAAACTAGGTGGTAAATGAAACAACTACAAAATGCTCAGTAGTAGCAAGGTTTACTTAAATACACTTAGCTTATTTTGGAAATAGTGCTGATCCAGTTATCTCAGTCACACGATCATCAACCATGTGTTAAAATGTGTGAAACAACTGCCTTTACGGCTAGCAAATTATCTACCATTTGGCAAAAGCAATCCTTAAAATCTCACTGCAATCTTATTCTGTCATTTCTTTTCTTCAGTTAAGTATCGACAAGCAACATTTCCCCTTATTTTAAAATGATACTGATGGTTCTTGTTTAACTATATAAGACACTGCTGTAGAAAGCTTCTAAGAATGGGAGGGAAATCAGCCTGGCATGGTGGCTCACATCTGTAATTCCAGCACTTTGGGAGAATGAGGTGGGCAGATGACCTGAGGTCAGGAGTTTGAGACCAGCCTGGCCAATATGGTGAAACCCCGTCTCCACTAAAAACTCAAAAATTAGCTGGATGTGCTGGCTCACACCTGTAATCCCAGCTATTCGGGAGGCTGAGGCAGGAGAATCGCTTGAACCCAGGAGGCGGAGATTGCAGTGAGCTGAGATTGTGTCATTCCACTCCAGCCTGGGTGACAAGAACAAAACTCCGTTTCAAATTTAAAAAAAAAAAAAAAAAAAAAAAGAATGGAAGGGAAATCATGGATTTAGCATGGTTAAGGTGTTTTCTTGCCTGCAGGCAGTGAATGGGTTGAAAGGCTCCAGAGCTCAGAATTTTTAAATGCCAGTTTCTAAAGATCCAAATGATGATCAAAATATAATGGAAAATAGTCTATAAAAAAATAGGTAATACTTTGGAAATCTTCTAAATCATGCTGTAGAGTTGGGTGAAAATTTTTTATTGTTCTTCCCTCTTCCTTGCATTTATCTAAATTTATTTTTTCCATCATTCAGTACTTATTTGCTTTTCTAACAATAGAGGAACAAGACAAAATTTTTAAAATCTACAAATGAAAAGGGGAAAATATCATATAAAGAAAAACTTAGATTAAAAGGACACTTCAAGTGATAGGCCCTAAATCCTAAAGCATTCATAGTAAAACTCTTAAAAGCCAATTAGTATCTTCACCATCAACCTCTCTGCATACACATCCTGGGGTGGTTCTGCCACCATCTGCTTCAGGCTGTCTGTGTAGTCTGGGCACGTGTCCACTCAGGGAGCGCATCTTGTGCAGTGACCACACTGGAGGGACCAAGCCCCATTAACTGCTCCCAGTGCATCCAGGAGCCGTGATTAAGCCCACAGTGCTCAAACGCAGCACGGATGCTGCAGGCCCAGTGTCATTTCAGTTCTTAAACAAATAGTGTGTCATCCAAACCCACAGTGTCCGGGGCTCCCAGGCTGTGAAGTGGTCATTCTCAACCACCACCACCTTCCTTTTGTTTGGTTTTAAGAGTCCACTAATAGGATTTTATATTCTTTACATTATTTTAATCCTCACAAAAACTAGGTGAGCTAGAAACTATTATTTTAACATATAAATGTGGAAACGGAAACCCAGAAAAGTCGTTTGCCCAAGGTCACAGAGCTCTTATGTGACAGACTGAAACCTGGGTCGGCTGACTCCAGAAACCCCTTCCACCTTAGAACGTGCCAATCACTCCGCAGGCCCATGAACTATCACTGCTATTTGCTAAGAAAATGAATCAAGACAAGCCATCCAATTAAAACAACAACATACAGTAGTTTGATTCATTGCCCACCAACTGTACCAGGGGACTATAGGATAGGTCCCAGTGAATAAAGATCGTCCTCTCTTGCTGACCATCTGTGGACAAAGAGGAGGCCTACATCCAGTGATCAGAGGCAGACTTGCTTATTCTTCAACAATCCTGCTCCCAAGTCACCAACAGGTACATAACTCTGTGGAAGACACACTGACTAAAACGCAGCGGCCCAGTTCCCAGCGCCCTGCCAGCCACACATCAGGTGCTGTCTACAGAATTATTGCTAGACTGAAACAAAACTTGAACTCCAGCTGTTTATACAAAGTAAAATCTAAAATTGCTGACGTACCTCTTCGTGGGTCCTAGAATTCCCCCAACCCAGTTTATTATCGAATCCACTATATTTTGTTATCATCCCACATTTCAATACAGTAATTATTTATAGTGATTTTATAGTTTTTAAACTCACAATCTTATTTTGTACTGTTTTTACTGTTTACAAATAAACATTAAACTAAAGAAGATAGAGAGATGGTATCTATCTAAATTGACCTGCATTGGGATTAGTATCATTTTATCTGAAACAACAATCATAAACCACATATGAAAAGTGGGTGCTGCTTTAAATACAATTCTTTGAAGCAGTACTTGATTTTGCGCCATGTGTTCCCCCCAAATTAGATGTAAATCAAAAGTGGGGAGAACACACTCTTCGTTAAGGGTCCTAAGGAAGCTTTCTAATTAAGAGATCCCTACACGGCACAGATGCCGGCCAGCTCAGCTGGTACTAGCATTCCCACACACTGTATCAGGGTTTTGCCAGTAAGAAAGAACAGTTGATTCTTTGGGAATGAAATCTTTAAATAGTGAATAATTTGTGTCCTTTATGATACAGTCTATAGCTATAGTTATGTATATGTGTAACATCATAATAAAGAAACACCACCCACTGAGGAGAAATGTTTCATTTCTTTCATCAGTATGGATCTGTAATGTGTATCACACTATGTACTACTAAAAAAGACGACAGTATGTTTTGGGAAGGGAAACAATTGTTGAAGATAAGTGTCAACTATTTGAAATGGGAACAAATATGGACGTAAAAAAATTTTAAGTGCAAAGTAAGTACACTTTTAACTTCAGAAACATCACTTCCCATTTAAAAACATGTCTTATTTGTTGAAGATCCAATGTACATATCAATTTTCAAGTTGCCATCCTATGCCATTTAGATCTTTAAAAACGGCCAGATTTCTAATTCTTTCTGCTTATTCTTGGTGAGTTTCAACATGGTGCCCCTCCAAATATATGATGTTGGTTACTAAAGCTTCTTTAAAAATAACTTTGTGGCCAGGCACGGTGGCTCATGCTTTTAATTCCAGCACTTTGGGAGGTCGAGGTGGGAGGGGCATATCACCTGAGGTCGGGAGTTCGAGACCAGCCTGACCAACATGGAGAAACCCTGTCCCTATGAAACATACAAAAAATTAGCCAGGTGTGGTTGCAGGCACCTGTAATCCCAGCTACTCAGGACGCCGAAGCAGAATTGCTTGAACCTGGGAGGCAGAGGTTGTGGTGAGCCAAGATTGCACCATTGCACTCCAGCCTGGGTAACAAGAGTAAAATTCCATCGCAAAAAAATAAAAAATAAATAAATTCATGCTTCTAAAGTAAAAAAATCCTTCCATATTTTTAAAATAAAAATTGTACTTAAGAGAATTAAGAATTCTTGTCTCTCTGATACGGAGTTCCTCTCTCCAAGAACTACTAGGGTTCACTAGCCTAACCCAGAGTCATCCTTCCTGAGAGAAATGCAAAAAAATTTCAACAGATGTTCAAAACAGCACAGCCCAGTTGCTCTCCTGCCAGGCTCACTAAAGGGATCTTTTGCTCTTGATCCACTTTAGATATTGACATTTGTCCCTTTAAAGAGTACTAGCCAGTATGAACAAGTTCTCAATCTATGGAAGGAACATACATACTCTCTCTTATAAATATAGCCGTTCCAAATCTATGGCCCTTCTACTGTTAAAAACCCTGCCTTTCCCTGAAGGCTAATTTAGTGTAGCCTAAGATTACAGAACTAGGAAAGGCTCTGTGGAGACTGGAAAAATCAGATACATCCCCTGCCCATCTAAAAAAATCAACTAAGCTTAGCCATAACACATTGGTATTGAGAACAATACTGATAATTCTGTACTATCTATGGCAATGAACATTTAAAAAGTCCAGAAGGGACACTGAAAATCAACAGACTGGCAACTCACACTTCCAGGTAAAACTCTGGGACAATGTGTAATAAAAAGTCAGAGCACTTCGCTAACAAGACAATTAGGCTTAGGAGATCTCAGTTGCTGGAGAAAGGAACAAGCAAGTGGATAAAAGAAAACAGTGATGTCAGCACTACATTTTTCTAAACCTGTGTTAATTTTAAAGTAATGTTTACTTTTTCTGATTATGAAATTAATAAATGGTAAAAATAAATACTTTAAAAATGGTATAGGATGGGCATGGTGGCTCACACCTGTAATCCTAGCAATCTGGGAGGCAATGGCGGGCAGATCACTTTGAGCTCAGGAGTTTGAGACCAGCCTGGGCAACATAGCAAAACCCCCTCTCTACTAAAAAATACAAAAAACAACTAGCCAGGCGTGGCGGCGCAACACCTGTAGTCCCAGCTACTTGGGAGGCAGAGGCAGGAGAATTGCTTGAACCCAGCAGGTGGGGGTGGCAGTAAGCTGAGATCACACCACTGCACTCTAGCCTGGGCAAGAGAGCAAGACTGTCTCAAAAAAGTAAATAAATAAAAATAAACAAAGAAAATGGTACAAAAAATACAGAGATAACACACTTGAGAATCACATCATCCTGATACTGTTGTCAGCGTGGATTTTCCTTTTTTCTCGAGTAACATATACTCTTTGGGGAGAAGCAAAAGGGA